AAAAAAAAAAAAAAAAAAAAAAAAAAAAAAAAAAAAGGAACCACTCCATAAGACAAGGTGTTGGCAGCATCATGCTATGGGATTTTATATGATAGACCAATTTTTTTTTTAAATTGTGGGTAGGAATAAAATTTAGTTAGAAATAAACATTTAAAACATTTGTAAGCATCACTCTAAATACAGGGCTGTGGTTTAACAAGGTGGTGGCAATATCATGCTGCGGGGATGCTTGTGTCCAGCAGGGACAGGGATGAGCTAAATTAATTAAGGGCAATATTTGGAGAAAACCAGTTAGAGGCTGGAAAAGACCAGGCTGGAGGTTCGTCTACCAGTAGGACAACCACAATGGGATTTTTAACAGGTTTAAAAGGGTTAAAAGTTCTGTTAAAGCAGGAAAGAGTGATTTTATAAAGTGTTTCTAAATGGAAAGAGTCATTATCTATCAATCTGAGAGTTGTGGTTTGGATTCCAGCTTCCTCCTGTCACATTGATATCTGACAGGGTGCTTTTGGGTGAATGTGCCTGTAATATTAAGCTCTTAGGGTGGTTGAAATGGCTACAAAAGCAGTTTATAAGTTAACTAATTTAACACTTCCTCTGGGTGTAGCTAGATAAAAATGTAAGCAATGCTTTTTACATTTATATAAAAATAATCACCTATGCATTTGTCTGTTCAGTCTATCACTTAAAATCCTAATAAAAAATACAAAGGTTGTGATTTTAAGGTGAATATTGTGAAGTTCAAGGGGTATAACCTAAATAAGATCTTTTATTTGCTCCTTTCAAAAAATAAGTCCGAAATGTAGCTGTCATTTCAAGCAGCACCAACATTCCATGAGTCCTTTTTTGCTCTAATTAACTGAAAATCAAATGAAGAAAATATAATAACTGCTAATGTCAAGTCTAAATCCTTATCTATAATTCTTATATTCACAATTATAATTATTATTATCCCAACTTTCTATTCATCTGCAGGTTAATTTCCCATTCAGGAGAAATCTGCTGGATTTGCTTCCTCAATGGCTTCATCACTGATTAAAACAGCAACATTATTACAACAGCAAGATGCAGCAAAATATTTATGCACCCGAATTTAATAAAAAAAAAAAAAACATGTGTTATTATGGCTCCATTATAAATCCTAATTTTTAGATAATTTGTTTTAATCTAGAACAGACAGCTTATTTGGATAAAAGAATACCAGGATAAAAACTTTTTTACCAATGCTGGAAATTATTTTCTGAAGTACATGAAGTGATCCAATGAGGTACATTTATATTTCCCCTATTTTGGTTTATGGTGTAATAGAAAAATATGTTTTTATTTTCTTTTAGCTGAAAAATGCATCAGACTGCTGTATCCTAGATGCACAGAGGAGCGTTATCACAGATCCATCCTCCCAGCAGCTGTTAGACGACAACCATCACTAACAACCAAGTCAATGAGTTGTTTTTCTTGGGGAAATGTTCCCCTGAAATATTGTGAATAGTCTGTTGTTATTTTTTTATGCACAAAAATAAATATAAACTCTGTAATTCAAAAAAGCATTACATAACATAGTATATTGTTTTAATGACTATTTGGTATTATTTAGTTTTTCTGATGCTTTGAAACTGCCCTATATTTGCAGTATCATATTCTTAAGTTTGTCTTTCAGACAACTAATCTTGACAAACCTAAGATATTTTTCAATACAACTGTGCTTTTTTCCTGTCCTGTCATTGACCAAAAAAAAAAAAAAGTAACCACTAGGTGGCGACAAATTCCACATGATTCACAGCCAAGCATGTGAGCATCCACAGCACTCACCACTCTGGAAAGGTTAAGATCAGATTTACAGTGTTGCCAAGGGGTTTAGAAACCAAATATTCTGGCTTGTGAATGAACTCCTTGTTTCTCCATCGCTTAATCCTTCCCTCTGTTGTAACTCTGACCTGGTTTTTCGCAAACGGTATGACATGAAGCTTCTAATTCTGATGACTCGCTGGAAAGTGATGCAATAACATGACAGTATAGAAAAAATGTTGGGATGTGGATAGCAGTTTATAATCATATCATGTACACAGGAATCTTGGCTAAATCTCTTTTTTACTCTGAAGTTTTAGACTTTAAACCCAACCAGTGACGGCTGAACTGATTTTTGAGACTCAGACTGACAGCTTTTGTTGCATCATCCTCAGGCCACAGCTTTCATTTGTGCTATGTGAATAGATTGACATTGACATTGACTTTTATCAGAATATTTCAGTAGATTCTTGATTGATTGACACCCACCCAGTGTACAAACATTTAGAGAAATGTACACTTTTTTCACTGATTTGAAGCTTTATTTCCTGAATGCTAAAACCATTATCCTAAAAAGTATTTGATATTATGGAAGTGGTGGAATTTTTAAACCTTTCCTGGTATTTGGTCTAAAAATGATGCTGACAACTGCTCTTATTTAGAACAAACATGTAACAAACACAATCATTTTATAATCAATTGACTCTGCACTGAAAAAAGTGACTTCTTGGTGCAGTAAACTCTATTAGAGTATTTGCTATAAATTCTACTCTGTATTTTTAAGCTTTGGTAAAAACTAGTTTCAGGAGTAAAATAAAACTTTTTTTAACGTAATACAGTACATACATTTTGGGAAAAGAGTATGTTTTACCTAGATTTCCTTGTACTATTTAAATGTTTTAATGAATTTTGGGGAACAAGCAAGTTTTACTTAGACTTCCTTATTTAATAGCAGTATGTACATAAATCTAATAATGCTACATAAACTGTACTCTAATCTACGTATATAGACCAAGCATGCATTGTCCACAAAAGTGGCGGATGTAGGGGGTGGCTACTTTGGCTACAGCCCCGGATGTTTTCCCAAGAGCCCCTGATCTAAGCTTCTAAGCTGATCTGAGTGAAATATGCAGTACTGGAATTCACCAGAGAGTGGCAGCATGCAGAAGTGTTTCCCTCTTGCTGCTGCCACTTTAGCCCAGCTCAGTCCAGGTGGCTAAAATATTTGATTTTCCTCTCATAACTCTGGCAAATAATGATCAAATGTCACCAAATCCACAGGATCTGTTTTTTGATGAAGAGAGGAATAAACACAATTAAAGACTTGCAGGTAAATTAATTTCTTTCGATGTTATGGAGGGGGAACAGATTATTTCAGGCAGCCGAAATATCCATTCTATCCTCCTCCTCCTCCTCCCATATTTTTAGGAAATATGTGTGATGGCATGTCATATGCCTGAAATGTCCTTAATCCAGTAATCTGTCATATTTTACATCAGAATGGGATTTAGCAGAAAGTCTACACTCTCACCTTTACCCTTAGGGCTAAGCCCCTGACCTCCTAGAATCCTAGATCCGCCCCAGGTTCAAAAATTTAAGGTAGAAAGTCTTGAACCCAAGGTATGCATATGTTATTCACATCCAGGAAAATTATTTATGGCTTTATCTTTATTATGGCCGACATTGGTAGGATAAAATTGCACAGTTAGTGTAGATTTTGTGAGCTTAACCAGGATGAGGTTAAAATTGAGTTCCAACACATTCTGATGGACTGACATGTACTGATTGTGGAGGCCATCAGATAAGAGTGGCATCAGTGTTTTGTTCTTTCTATATTATTTAGTCTTTTCCTATCCACTTATTTTTGCTCCTGATCTAAACCAGCTTGAGCTTACTTTGATCTTGGTAACATCTTGCATAAAATCAGAAAATACAGTATAGGCACACAATTATTCCACCACTATTAGCCCAAAACTTGATGGATCCAAGATTTTATGTATTTACACCAGGTTAGTTTATGTAGTTTACACCAACCCGTTATGTTGTTTTAGAGATTTAGCCTACCCTGCTTCTCACGAGAGGTTACTGGGGACCAAAATGTTCATTCACTTCTGAGGTCTGATATCTGCAGGAAATTTTTCCATCCACAACCCCTGCTCTCTGGATATGTTCTCTCTCTTTTTTTTTTTAAAGAGAACATATGTTAACCAGGTAGATTGAATGTAATAATATAAATTTAACCAGAAATATCTGAAGTAGCCTTTTACCATAAATTCATACCTGTTCAACACACCTCAAAGTTCCTTTTCAGTTTGATGTTGCTGCAGGATGATGGCCATCGATTTTCTAAAGCAGAAGACACCATGGGTTCAGCTAATATCAAAATCCAAGGCTACACCTCAGACTTTACAAATTGAGTCAGATTGCAGCCTAAGAACATAATCTCAATATTTTCTGCCTTTTGTCAACAGTTCAAGCTAATAATGTCATAATTTGAAAATGTTCTAGGCACACTTTATTCCCATAAAGTAGCAATTTTGCCTTGTTGATTACGATGTCCTAATTGACTAGAGTACCCACCTCCAGCAGGGTGGTACGCCATGTCAGAAAGCCTGGCTTAACTCCACCTTGTTTCCTCAACATGACAGAGCTGGCTGTACTCCAATAGCTTCCTTACCATTAAGATCTTAATCAAATAGAGCATTTTGGCTATAATGGACATGGACATAACAATTATGCACAGGTAGAAAACTTGTACTACTATCATGTTAATGTGAACTAATATCTCTGAGGCATCGTTATCACTCTTTGTTGAATCTATGCCAGGGATAATCAGGCCCTTTCTGAAGGATCCATCCAGGGATGTGTAACCCAGAAAGTGAATGGCAAGTGTATGCTTTATATCTAAAATGTACGCATTTGTAATCTAGCTGGGGGAAAAAAGTAAGGGTACAAATTGTGCATAATTTGGCACAAATAAAAGCAGACAAAGAACAGCTATGTCTAGAATGGCCACCAGACGGCAGTGCTGGTATCATAAGTTGAGAAACAAAATGTTCAGGCTGCATACAAGCTCTTTTAAGAAACCCTCCAAATTTCCACCAGACACAGAAATGACTCAGACACATTAGTAAACATTGCAAAGATGGTTGCAATGCATAATATGCCGCCTAGATTTTAACAATGAGTAAGGATCACATTATTAAGCTCATCTCATAGACTTTTAGCAAACTGCCATCAATTGATGGTTAAACTGTCTGGTATCAGTGATCTTCTGTTTCAGGTGATCTTTACTTCCTGTTCTGACAGCCAGGTAATCAGGTTGCAGATTGAAAACACATAGCTCAACGTTTGAAACCAAAACCTATCCCCCGTTACATTGTTCAATGCATGTAGCTCCTTAAAATTTATATTGCTTTCACACCAACTGCTGATTCTGCATTTGGTGAACAAATTAGGACAACTTGGACAGGGTGCTTTTCTATTAGTCATCCCAGAATAAAAGCTTATGTTTAATTTTTCTAACTGTTGCTTTAAAGTTTCTAAAACACCTCACATGTTACCTTAAGGATTTAAAGTAATCACAATACATGCGTATTGTGATTGTGATTGATGCTCCAAATTCATAGTCAAAAAACAGAAAAACTCAAATGGAAAAAAAAAACATGTGTTTGTGAAAACTATAATTCAAATGTTATCTATTGTTTTTAGATTTTCTTTCTTGATACCTGGCAGAGAAAAAAAACAAGATTTGTCTTGTTTTAGAGGAGCATTATCTTGGGAATATTGCCATCTAGTGGCTGAGTTCGGTAGCTTAAAAAAAAACATAACTTAGAAATCTGTTAATTACGGAAGAGGATTAGGGCCAGTGGAAAAAAAAAAAAAGTTAACTGATTTTTAAATTTTATTTCTGTTTAGTATGGGAAAAAATTCAGAATTCAGACTTTTTTCTCAGAATTCGGACTGAATTCTGACAATAAAAAAAAAGTCAGAATTCTGGGATTAAAGTCAGAATTCTGAGAAAAAAGTCTGAATTCTGAATTAAAAGTAAGAATTCTGACTTTTTTCCCATACTAAACAGAAAT